TTGAAGTAACCTTAAACAAAGTTTGTGCCAGAGGTCAAGGTCACAGCAAATATCTTTACAATTTAAAAATATTTTTTTCTCATCTTAGCCCAGTTTGGTCATACTTCTTTCAAGATATGGGATCAGGAAGAGGTGGAAGTTGAAGCAGACCTCTGTGTAAATTCCTTGTTAAAAAACTCCTTTCTCTAATTTAGATGATACCTCTAGACTCTAAGTTATATTATAAGATATAAAAGAGCTTATATATTCAGTGTTTGAACAATTTCTAAAATGATGTAATTTCTTATAAAATAAGTTTATGAAACATAAATATTAACATTGACATTTGAAATCGTCAAGTCATCAAGTTCTATGATCGATTCAATGACCTTGTCAGCAAATACTGTCTATCATTGAGTCAAATGCTGATGGACATTTTTCATACTAATTGCTAGGCTAATATCTACACACTGAATTGTCCATAGATTAATTTATTCCCCTATTTCATGACAAAGAGCACAGACTATTCCCCTATTTCATGACAAAGAGCCCAGGCTGGATGTGACCAGTTGACAGGGGATATTCACTCCATCATGGCACCTGATCCCACTTCTGATGTTCTTAAGGTCCATGTTTGTTCTGCTCCTGATTTGAATTGTTTTACTGGACATTTGAGCTTGAATACTCTTCATTATCTCCATGCATATATTCGATTTTGAATTAATACCTGCTGTGACCTTAAAATACATGTATTTACAAAGTTTCTAGCTTAAAGATTAATCATTCCTCTGATAAAAAGGTCAGAATTCAAGGTCAATACAGACATTCATGCTGTTTGTCTGGAATATATGTACCAGTACATGTTCTTGAGCCACTTTTGCTCATGTTTATTGCTGCTCACCCCACACCTTGGGTGAGTGGTATGCATTGTTTGCATCAAGTGAAAGGTGGGAATTTTTTTGTAAATGCCTTGTAAAGGGTATTTATTACTCCTTTAGTCCAATTCTATCACTCATACTGTATCATTGACAGAATTATATTTGCAAATTCTTTGATTTTATTACCTCTCTATTATAAAATGCATTTCCTTTCCGAAGGAGCATGCAAATTAATATTTTGATTGTTACTAAGGTTATAGTAAAACATAATAAGACTAGCTACTTTTACTAGATTTATTAAATACTTTTGAAAATATGAATAAGATTTAAGATGGAAAATGCTATTTAGTGCATTGACAATTACACAAAAAATAAAACAAATTAACACAAATTAAAACAAAAGATGTATGTGGAACACTTATGCACCTTCCCCCTTGAACAAGAAGCATAATTCTGTCTAAAATTGCTCGATCATACCCCAAAACAAAATCTGACCAAGATATATTTAATTAATTTCATTTCAGTTCATGCAACCTCTAAGAGGAAATGAACGGTAACTGTTTGTGGACCCACAGACAGCAACAAAGCAATACCTTCTTCGAGGGGCATTATTAAATTGTACACAAAAACATGCTGGTGAAGAAAAATATATATAGATAAAATGTAGCTACTTGTTCATCTTTCTATAACACGAATGAACATCTTGATGCATAATTATGTTACGATCACATCCAGATCATCATTATTGTTATTTCACTCAAGGTTTGCTGTTTGGTTTGAACTATATAGCAGTCCTGTTCACTAGGAGATAAGTCCTGGAAATTGACTAAAACCTGGTGATATACTGTTATCGTTGATGAATTTCTCTCCAAAAAATGCATAAATTAATGCAGTCCAGGTCACTAAAAGAAAAATTACAAACATATTTATTGTATTTCTCCTTTCAAAGCTATGAATTAATTGTATTCAAATGCATGCATGTATAATTACAATTGGTGAAATGAACAAATGCACAAATATGAGAATTACTTGGTGAAAAATGCTGTCTTACATAATTCCCTAGAAATCGTTAAAAATGGACTACTCCCCATGCATTGATCAAGTAAACTAATCCCTGCTTCAAAATGTAGTTCCCAGTTATCAGTAATTCTCTAGATTTTGCTTTTGCATTGGTGTGACATGTAAATGGACTAATCCCAGTTTGTTAGTTCAGTGAGCTAATCCCTGCTTTAAAATCACACTCTCTGAATCCTCTAAATTTTATGTTTGTATCATATATACATGTACATATACGGTATAATAAAATAGTTAAAAGTATATCAGTGAGGGAGTTATATAGCAAGATTCCAGTTCCCCTCAACCAGAACCATTTCCCTTGGCTTTGCCTCGGAAAATATCCCTTGTATTGGGGAACTGGAATCTTGCTAACTCCCTCACTGATATACTTTAACTGTATACATGTAATATAAACTCAATTACTAAGAATCAAACAAAATTTTGTTTTAATTGAGATTTGAAAATGACTAAATTCTTATTAATTTCTTGAATCATATGCATCATTCTTGGTCCACTATTTATCTTCTAAACACAAGATTGATTTAAAGACTCAGTCTAATGGCTATTAATTTGAGAAAATAATTTTTATACAAGGCACATAGGCGTCAGAAGCAAATTGAAAGTGGGGGGAGGGGTAATTGAAAGTTGGGGGAGGGCTAAACCAACAAAAAAAGGTAAAGCCCAATTATCAATGCCTATATTATGTGTATATTTGTAAAAAAAAAAAAAAAAGTTGGGGGGCTAAACCCCCTCCCCCTACCCTGGTTCCGATGCCTATGAGGTATAAGGTTAATAACTTGTGACAACTATCAAAGGGTGCACCCTGAACAATTGGACAAGGTCAAGGTCACTAGGTACAATTCTTGTCCATAACTTAATTTTGTAATAAAATGAATATTTATTAAATAATTAATAATATTATAGTTGCCATTAGCAGTGAAAATGCTCATAATATACATGTATAATGACATGACTGGGGTCTGAACACAGACAATGTCAAGATTTAGACAATGTCAAGGTCAGAGTTGTCTACACACTGATATTGTCTTGTTTTATCACTGCACTGCTATAAAAGAGTATGATAAAACTTAATTGTCACAGTGGTTGATTATCTACAGTTACCCCTTCAAATCTATGTGACAGACCCACTAAGTAAAGGATTCCTTGTGAGAAAGGTCACAGAATTGTGTTGAATTCTATTGGTCTTAAAAATCAAAAAAAATTAATTAAAAAGAGAAAACTTTATATTTCAGGAGCATCAGCATAATTAACAAACTTTTAGGCTGCTAAATATCTCTGCAGCCAGAACAAGAGGAGAAGTCTGTGACAGTATAATAATTCCATTTGTTTTATAGTCAACAAAATATTGCTCAAAAGCATCTATCAACATGGTAATGTATTCAGCAATTTGTAGAAAACCGATTTAACAATATCATGATTTAGACAAAGTTTGGTGACTTTAAAGCAGTGGGCACCACAAACACTTGCCTGATGCCCAAACATTTGTAAAAATTGAATGCAGATCATACTAGCACAATTGATATAGTAGGATTTTCAGTTGTGTTTATCCATTTCCATCACAGTAATTGTCTAAAAGAATTAATTCCTTTTTGATTTTTTTTTTACTTATTGTCTCTCTATTGTCCATGCTTGTTTATTTATAATCTGTCCCAAAAAAATGTTAACAAAAGTTGAAATAAGGACTACCACTAAGTTTAAGAAATATACTCTCAAATACTCACAGTAAATGGACCTGAGAATTTAATTAATTGGTAGGCAGTTACCTATAACCCATTTATATACAAAAACTTGAGAAGACATCTCTATAGTGTTCTGCATCAATGTAGTCGTGTAAAATAAAACAGTTAATTGTACAAGTATATATAGTCAAAAATTTGACAAGAAAATTATATAACAGGGAGTTCACAGAAATTTAATTTCTGCAATAAATGTTTACACTAGCCCAGTGGGGCCTAATTAGTTATTATGTTCAATTTCTAGGTTCATACTTTCCTATACATTCCATTTTGTATGTAAAACTATATCCTTTGGAAAAAGTATAAGATAGGATAAGATAATTAAGATTTATTAATAAATATCAATTTGGGGTCCATCGGGGCATATATATAATAAATGAGAAAAACATACAAGAAGAAATTCAAAATTGATAGTAGCAACTAAAAAAAGATTAATGATGGTACAGCAGAAAAGGTATTTTGTAGAATCTGATTGGCAACAGTCACTTTCAAGAAATAGTTTATTTTAATAATTATTTGCAAACTCCATACATAAGCTATAACGTTAGTCCCCTTTTTTGCAAAGATAGACATAATAAAGGCATTGAATATTGAGGTTTAACACCCCTCACCCCTCACTTTCAATATGCACGGGTTGCAGTGTATTCAAAGAAAGATAAGTGGTAGGGCTTTGAAAATATGGTACTCAAAGATGTTTGATCCTACCCCTACCCCCCCCCCCCCAAACAAAATATAATCTGATGATGATAAAAGGTGTAATTATTGTGTACTTTTCCTAACATATAACAATAGTATTCTATTGGAAACTTACATGTACATAGATGATAAATGTCCAAGGCTCATCTTCATTGCGAAATCACGATGTATGACGTCAGATCAGTGAAAGTGAAAGTTGATTTTCATAGTTCGTTTTTAACCATTTAAAAAATGTTACAAAAATATCAAACAGATAATTTTAAAAAGGAATAAATAAAAAACTGTAAAATTAAATAAAAAGGGGGCATTTTATAATTTATTTTTTGCCGCCTTAGGATACTCTTTATTCCGGAAAAATGTTGTTTAAAGGTAGTTTTCGTTGACTATTTCTGCGTCACTTCCTGTCTGTTCATCTGCCCTTGTGACACATTCTTTTAGGTCTTGGCCGTGCCGACAAATTATCATAACGCGCTAACGGGCGGTATTCAATTTGTCGGCACGGCCAGGTGTGTTATAGGACCGAAGACATCCAAAAATATGAATTCAATGCTTAAATAAATCAAAGGATGTGGTACTGGGATAAGCCTTCTATCTTGATATATCTATATGTAGATAGAACTCCTTGAACAAAACAATATGTAATGAAAACGTGTTGCTGATACAAGTACTATAAACAGAAAAAATAACAATGATAGCAATCGTTATAATTGATAACAATCTGATTCAGTTCTTGTGTCTGATCATCATCAGAGTCTGTTTTAATGCTTCTTCTTTACGTTTCCAGTGCCACCATACTGGGTATTGACCACCAGAATCACCAGACTGTCCATACAGCCCGTTCAGGTTTGAGTGGTGACAGTTGTTGTACCACCAGGCTCCGTGATATGATACAGCACAGTTACCACTATACCTGTGGTTATCCCGGTCTTTTGTTGAAAATGCCATTCCATTGTGAGAATCTAAACTGTCACCTACAACAGAGTATATGATGAATTATACACAAATGTGTCATTTATGGAACATTTAGATAAATCATAATTAAAAAATAGACGCATCATTAATAGATTTAAAATAAACATGTTAAACTTGATGTTGCTAAATTTTGATTGCATGTATCATATAACCCACTCTTAGTCTTTTAAATATATTTGAAAACAAGCACATCTTCTGTTAATGATAATCTATATTTAATTACCGATAAATCAATTAATTTAATATATCAACTGGAATAGGAAATTTATCAAATCAATGAATTCGACATTGGGGTTACATGCTGATATAATTATATCTGGGAAAAAGCTTCAATATCAATCTTGTTTATAATGGTTTTTATATTATTTTCTCGTGAATCAATGGAGAGGACAATTTAAGTTGGTATAACTTGTGTCTATAATCCGTATTACGAAAACCCAGAAGGCTCATTTGAGATTCGAGGTTCGAAACACGAAATTCGAGATTCGAAATACGAGATTCGAAATTCGAGTTTCGAGATTCAAGATCCAGATTAACCAATCAAAAGCGGGTTCAACATTTGATTACTCCCCTTTATTATGATTTTACTATCAAGAAATCGTTTAATATATTTTTGTTTCATCAACTACGATAAGAAAAGGCGAAAACAATGTTGTGTAGATGATAAAATTTCAGTTTGTCAAAACTACCTTCGCAAATATTCACGACAAATTAAATCATAAAAATACCAAATACATATATATAATGTATATTTAAAGTTTACATTGATATCAAATCAATAAATACATTGTAAATCCAGGAAATAATTATAATTAATAATTATAATTAGATCATAGCTCCCCTACACCACGCCAATCCCTTTGAAAAAAATCATGGATCCATAATTGAATCGAATATCTTTCTTTATTTTTTTTACTGAAGTCTCTCTTTCAACAGCTATCATATTTATCACCATTGATAAAAACTCCAAAAAGAAGAAGGTATCTTTAGTTAAATGTTCTTAAGAAATAAGGCATGTCGCCTGACTGTAGAGGAAAAATTTTTAATTCGCATTAGTTTACTTCTTATTAGCTGTCGTGTGAACGCAATTTAATTCGCATTAATTTGATTCGCATTAGTTCACTTCGCATTAATTTACTGCGAATTAAACTCGTCGTGTGAACAAGCCATAATAATTAAAGTGTATAAATTAATAAAGATGGTTTTAGTGAGGCAAAATTTTGAACTACATCAGAGAAGGTTTACAATTTCTTTACATTCTAGAGATTTATTAATTGCATTATTTTCAATGAAATCAGACCAAACAATATATACCAATCCAGGCATCCATATTTTGTTTGTATCATCTGTCCTTAAATGAAGATTTAGATAGTTATTAAGGTCTTCCGTTTCCAACGGAAGACCTTTTTGTTATTCTTAGGTTTCTTTTCCAATTTTTTTTTCTTATTTCTCTCCGATTTTGTGCACGCGAGTTTTCGGAAACAGTTGGCTCGATTTTCATGAAACTTTCATGGCTGATGGAACATAAACAATCTAGCCATATATTTTTTTTATTTTGATGACGTCACTTCCGGTTCCGAGATTTTTGCATTTTAGTGAATTTTATGGGTTAGTTTGCCCGCGAGTTTTCTCGAAAACAGCTTAAGATAGAAACTTGAGATTTTCAGTGATAATAGAGCAATAAATGTAGTTGTGCGGAACGTATTTCATATTCACCCAAATTGCTGTGTACGGAAGCTCGTTATGGCCCGAAAATAGTCCAACCGCGAATTTCAAAAATATTGAAACCTTTTCAACGATAACTTTTTACCTAGAAATATTTTGTTACAACATGTATAACAAAATATGTGTAGAATTCCAAGATCTTTCAAACGATATCTCGAAAAAAGGGCTGGCCCCTAAAATTAAGGGCCTAGCGGGATCTCGAGTTTTTCTTTTATATCTCAAAAAGTATTGAGAATTTGTAATACGTCAAAGAAGCAAAGTTGTTCAAAATGTCAAAATACGTCCGGCGACGTCACTTCCGGCCAAACCAGAAGTAGTCTGAAAACGTATATTTTTGCCGTTCTTGACAAGATTTTGGGTATCATCTGTCACTGGGAGCCTAAAAATTAAATTTCCATCCGTCGTCATCACTTCCGGTCAAACCGGAAGTAGCAAAAACTGGCTTATTTCTGCATTAATCAACATAGATTTAGAGGATTTAAACCATTTTTCGGTATTATTACTTATTTATGTAAAAAATAAAAGTAACTTCCGGTCAAACAGGACGGAAGACCTACTCGTTGTTTTACAACGAGCTTTGCTCTAGTTGATATTATAATTTCAAAAGTGATTTAAATAATCATTTTGAAAGTTGCTGATAATACATCAAAACTAAACCATAATTTACTCCATATCGAAATCTGAATTCAATTATTTCAATAGTGGTTGCAACCTTTGTTTGTTATTGAAATAAATCTCGACCACTATTGAAATAATTATTTCAATAGTGGTGGTATTTCAATAGCGGTTATTACCTATGTTAGGTATTGAAATGCACTCTCAAACACTATTGATATAATTATTTCAATAGTGGTTGTATTTCAATAGTGGTTACTAACTATGTTTGCAATTAAAATGCACTCTCAACCATTATTGATATAATTATTTCAATAGTGGTCGTATTTCAATAGTGGTTACTAACTATGTTTGATATTGAAATGCACTCTCAACCGCTATTGATATATTTATTTCAATAGTGGTTGTATTTTAATAGTGGTTACCAACTATGTTTGCTATTGAAATGCACTCTCAACCACTATTGATATAATCATTTCAATAGTGGTCGTATTTCAATAGTGGTTATTAATTATGTTTGATATTGAAATGCACTCTCAACCGCTATTGATATAATTATTTCAATATATAGCGGTCATTATTTCAATAGTGGTTGCAACAAAGGTATCATTTTTAACTACTTCTGTGACACTGGGCCGATTTTGGGCCGATCACACATTTGCGTAGAATGCCACGGGGCCGATTTTGGGCCGATTTTATTGAAATGAATTGTGACTTTGCATTCCTTTTACTTCTATTCAACGTAATTAATTATTGAACTTTTGCATCTTTTTATTGCATAACATTAAAGTTTTTATGGCTTATTTGTAGAATATCATGAAAATTTTCAGGCAAATAAATGGATAAACAAAGTGAGTATAAAACCAGCGATGACGCCATAAATTTTTGAAATAAATGAGTTGTTACATATAATACCGGTATAATTACTATTGAATATGCTCAATGAACACGATTTCATTTCAAAGGTATATTTTCATACTATTATAAATTTAGTATATAGAGGTACTACTCGTCCATTTAGGGTTAGGGCAATGGGTAGAATCAACGTCATTTTTCGTAAATGACGTCATAATAATAAGTACGTGCAAGCCAAACCTTAAGAAAACGTTCCGAGTTTATAGATTACCAGTAACTCTTGAAGCATTTAGATTGATTGACTGATTGTTTATTTCCGTGATTTAATATTGTCAAGTTTATTTGTTTTATTTTATTACGAATGAACAAATTAAAATTTATATTCTGTTTCGTTTTGTTTCCTGTGTTCGATGTATTTTTCGTAAGTTTCCTAAATGCAGATTTTACATGCTTCTACTCAAACTAGATGCTGTCATGAGACAGTAATACCCGCACTATGGTGTTTGCCTCTAAATATACACTCATTCATATTGGACTTTCCAAGGAAGAAGTCAAAATAATTCTATAATTATCACCGTACATGTATTCGTCAAATTGAACATAAAATTTTCAGATGACCATATCAACTCTGAGCCTCACATATGTATTTTAAAATACTTAATTCATAACAAGTCTGAAATAACAGAATTTAATTAATGATTGAAGTAAATTACTTATTCAAATAAATAATTTTCCCATTATTTGGAACTTTTTAAATTTACTTTCTCAACGACATAAAATATTATTTTAGTACAAAGCGTTTTTGATGAATTTATCAAAATGTGCAAACTGATTTTAGTATTTGGTCGGGAAAAAAACCCATTGAAAATACAACCCTATTAATTTGTCAATGCCTATCCCCCCCCCACACACACACACTCCTCTCTCACTCTCACATTTTTTAAAAAAACATAGTTTAGTTAATTATGATAGTTTGAAATTTGTTCTTGTACTAAACAGTTTTATTTTCTACATTCACATTGGGTTTGCGTCACCCATTATCATATTTATAGATATCACCTCTCGGCACACCTCGGCCAATTCATACTGGCAACGGAATCAGCAAAGGTTTGTCGAATGAGATTATTTAGCACATGTATGCTGACGATGCAGTGTGGTCAGTTAAAATCATTTGTGTTTTTATTGGATTATATGGATTATATTTCATGAATTCGTTGTCACGACCTATGACATTCGGTAAGTACAAGATTTAGTATAGATTGCATAAAAATAAATAAATGCAAATGGTTAGGTTGAAGTTCAAAAAGGGTCAACATGGTCAAAGATCATCGCATGCCACAGTCGACAAATTTCACATTGTCAAGTTATCTCCCGTTGCGGACATTCAGTATATAACAGACGCAGATCCCGATTTTTTTTTCAGAAAGGGGGGGGGGTGTCACACCTCAGTCAAAAAAATCAGCCCAAGATTTACTGAGATGGAAATAAAAAATAATAAAAACAATGATGGTGGAGTCCCTGTTTTCTAAGGGGGAGGATGTCCAAAGTCATTTTTATTCTCTACAGTACATATATAGTCTTCTTTAAATAACTGCTAATTCCAGGGGGGGGGGGGGGTTCTGATCTCCCAAGCCACTTACTCCCTGTACCTGAAATGACAATTGATATTATGACTCCATAATAGTAGAAAATTTTTTCATTTGACTATTTATACATATTTCCTATGTTTATGTATTTTTGTCTGTCCACGGAAACTTTAACCTTGCCCATATTTTTTAAGTGGA